ATGAAAAGGTCAGTAAGGCCTACAACGATTTCACTTTCACACTTTCGCTAATGAGGACCAGCCGTTACTCACGAAAAGCTCATCTGAGGAATGATATTGGGGGGGATCAAGTTGTTGTTGCTTTATATCACTTTAATTCAACTAAGATAAACTATGTTTAAACTATGTTTAAACTACCTACTTCAGGTGTTTAAAAAAAAATTAAAACACAATTTATACATTTATTTATCCATATTTATACATTATCTATTAATTATAATAAAATATTAGTAGCCAATTAATTAAACAATTATAATTATTGTGTCTGTACTAAATAAAGTTTACAAAAACAACTTTATAAGCAAGTATTGTATTGTTTTAAATAACTTTTTATGAAAATAAAATAATATACATTTATAATAAAATACTGAATGCTGACAAAAGGGTAAACCTAGTGGTTCATAAAGTAGTTGCAATGTAATAAATTTCACTATTATTTAGAATAATAATTCTTATTCAAAATATGCCTGACTAAAGCTGAAGATCGTTGCCCAAAACCAAATGAACCCAAGGGTTTTGGTCAGGTGCGGGCTTAATTTCTATCATTTTAAACGGAATCTGGCTGGGCTTGGGCTTGGGCTTGAGTGCATTTGATGCATTTCAATTAGCATGAGAAAGATTCAAAAATTGACACCAAAAAGGTGAAACGGAGGCTTGCCTCCGGCGATTATGTTTTGGTTGAACCGGTGTCCTGACATTTTATCCTACCCATCAGATTATGCTACACAGTATTTGAATGGTTCTGAGGTTGGGTTTAGGTATTAGGGTGATATTACAGCTTTATATTACACTACTACACATTAAATATACAATGGTAGCAAAATCCGATGGCATTTTTTGTCATCAAAATGTGCTACCTACATTTTGATTGGGAGGAAAATCAGACAAGGTACAAATCGAAAAAAACACCAGCAACTACAGCAAAGTCTGGGGTGTTTAAAGTTATGCATGCACACATTTAAATAATGCCGGGTTCAAAGCCTGTCAATCAAAATGCCAGGCTTGGGCTAAATTCTGTCAGGCTCAGGCCCTCTCTGGCTAAACTTTTTTTTTTTTGTATAATTATTTTTTAGGGGTTTTCCCCTTTATCATGGTATAGTACAGTGGAGAATTCAGACAGGAAAGCATTGGGAGCAGAGAGAGGAAGGATCAGCAAAGGACCTCGAGCCGGGAATCGAACTCGGGTCGCAATGAGCGCTTCTATGCTAAATCTTTCAATGCACAGTACCACTAGGCTATTGGTGCTGACTCTGGCTCAACTTTAATTAATAATAATAATTAATACACTCAAATTTTAGTAGGTGTTTTCTGTAAATAATGATAAAAGCATTTAAAAGTTGTTACTGTTTTCCTCATAATAACAACCTTAAAACAACATACTTTCTAATGTATGTGTAAAAGATTAAAGCTCTATTAAACTACTGTTGGGACATCACGATGGTGCAGTGGGTAGCACAACGGTCTCACAGTAAGAAGGTCGCTGGTTCGAGCCCTGGCTCAGACAGTTGGCATTTCTGTGTAGAGTTTGCATATTCTCCTCCGGTTTCCCCCACAAGTTCAAAGACATGCGGTATAAGTGAATGCTAAATTGTCCATAGTGTATGTGTGTAAATGGGAGTGTATGGGTGTTTCCAAGTGATGACTTGCAGTTGGAAGAGCATGTGCTGCGTAAAACATGCTGGATAAATTGGCGAATCATTCCGCTGTGGCAACCCCAGATTAATAAACGGACCAAGCCAAAAATAAAATGAATGAATGAATAAACTACTGTTTAGAAAACCCCTCTTTGTCTTTGACCCTAATATACACGACACACAAGTTTAAAAATAGTTAAAAAGTAATAAAGCCAGTTGATTATTTGTTTAAATAATCATACTGTAACACAAAAAATGCAATCATTAACTATCTAATATTTCTATGAAAGCCAATGCTTGTGCATCACAGCTTGAATTGCATCACAATGACGTAAACTAAACCATTTGTTCAGAGTCACATGCCTGGCTGCTGCAGATCATAGCCCCTATCATGACGCTAGTTTGAGCTCAACTACTCTGTTTTTGTAGTGAAGTCATCATTGTGGCACCATGATTTCTAGCCTACATGTTACAATCGTGTAGCGAGCAGGGGTTATTCATCACTGCTGTATCTTCAACCAAATTTTGACACAACCAATTACCTTTCCTGACAGCATACCTAATGAAGAATGTCATGCATGCACCTAACATACCCCCGCAAAGCACTCAGGAGCGCATAGTTTCCCATACACATCCAGGAGGTCCTTGGAGACCAAGCAGGAGTGGAGGGACTTCCTCTTTCGGAGGCCAGATTCCGGCTTCTCCATGGTCATTAACCCAACATGACTCAGATGAAACCTCCCCGAGTAACACGCATCTGAATGGGGAAGCCTGGAGTCACAAAACAGCTGGGCTTTGCTTTCTCTCTGGCAAAGGCTTCTAGAAACACTCCGGCAGGAAGGCTCATTTATGGCTTTCTTTGGACTACTCTCGTTTTCACACATTTAAAATCAGCAATATTATTCTTTAGTTCCACTAATCCGTGTTTAAAAGCAGCTGATTTTCCTTTCTCCACTTGCAAAAGCTTGCTTGGTTAATGTGTAATTGTAGTCTGATTTTCATCGCTATCTGAAAGTGGTTTATTCGGCCTATTTGCTAGTAACAGATCTTGATGTCAACCAATGTTGATCATTAAGCTCTAACGTGTCACTGCCAGCAAAAGTTAAGCATTAGTAAAAATCGCAAGGGCATATTAATCTACTTGAATTGATCTCTTAGTGATGCTTGCAAAATAAATAGGACTAAATAAGGTGATATTTCAAGATAAAACTGGTATGGTGGAGGAGACTGTGGTTAAAAGACAGCAATCTGGCAGGATTGAAAGGAAGATGTAGCAGTACTGTGATAAAGCAAACTGATTAAAGAGAATTTAGCCTGTTCTGATATTAATCTGCAGCTTTAAAGCAGAAATAAAATGGTAGGATATTTATAATATATTGATTTCATACAATAAACAAATTACTTTCAACCTTTTCACTCATTTACCATAGGTTTCTTTACCACAATCAAATAGTTACGCTTGAATTTACCTCTGAAAGACAACAAATGCTGATTTCATGTTAAGTGTTAGTAACGAAAGCTGAATCAACCCTCTTGTTCATGTAACCACATTTTCTTGAATTACGCACAAATTAGTTTATTGACACGTTGCCAGTGTCGCCAGTTATTTAACACAGTGTTACCTTGTAATCTGCTGTAATGTAGAAGTTATAAAGGGCTTGCTAAAAGTTTATTAGGACAAACTGAGAGATGAGATTACTACTTTATGAGGGACAGATTTAGACCGTGTCCCAAACCTTAGTCAGGTGTCTACCTACCTAAGCACCATTTCGGTGCACATAAATTACCCAAAATGTAATTTAATGACACAGTAAAACTAAAATAAAATGTTATGTCATATATAACTAGTTTTGAAGCTTTTTTCTACTTTTATTTTCTCAAATATTAAGGTTGCACGCTGTCAACTACAAACATTTGTTTTATTTTACTGTATGAATGAACAGAGAGCTAAGGATGGTAACAAATCATGATTTGTGGCTTCATATAGTGAGCTGTCAACACATCCATGACAGAAAACCTTAAAATCTACACTGCTTATGGCATTTATATCATCATATTTTTATTTTTACATTTAATGCATTAGCCCATTTGTTTTTCTGTTTTTACAGGACTTTTGGGAAAACTTTGGAAACTATATATTTAAAATGCATTTGCACAAATGCATTTGATTAATCATAATTACAAAAGAAACAATAAATATATGAAAAACTCTCTAAATGTCTTCTAAAATGAACATTTTTCTCTGATTCTTGTGCTTAGGTTTAGAAATATTACTTTTATAGTGACGAATACGTTCTTTTAATTTGGTTTAAAGTGAAATAATTGAACATAAACATAGGAGGCTGAGAAATTTGCTCACTTTACGAGAAATTTTCAGATGGCATTTAGAGGTTTTTGCATCTGAACTTTTCATATACTGTATAACATCACTTTTATCTTCTGTCAAGAAAGACAACATATTTAATAAATATATAAATCTATGTATATGCCTATTTACTTTCAGTAGAATAAATTTTTCTACATCACATTATTTTATAATACATACAATTCTGATCTAGTTTGAAAACAAGTGCTTATTGGCATAGTAGTGGGTGATGACTGAGAATTTTATCTTTTGAAATTTACATTTGTGTCACAAACATTTTAGTTACAGTATAACAAAACTAGTATTAAACAATACTTAATACAATTAAAGTAACGTGGAAACGTGGAAACAACTTGTTATACAAGAAATGCCACTTTCATAAAGAAAGATTTGAGCGAAGAAGCTTAAAACAGCAGTTACCATAGTATCCTGGCAGTAACATGGTACATTTCTGAGGGGCTTAGTCAACTCTCCAAAAGAAAAAGCGGGGAAACTTATGTCAATATTGTTTCAGGTACAGTTGCATAACTTTGTCATGCAGTCTTTAAATATATTCCCAGTCACTATTCTGCCTCTAAAACTCCGACAAAACAATACAAGTATTCCAACCGTGTGCTGTTTAATAATTGTGTTTCCAAGTGTAATATGCAACAGTTTACAAAAGTGTTTCCCATACCTATGAACTAACGTTACACACAGCACTTTCGCTTCAGAGTTTTAATTCTCGATACATGCGTTAACTCTTGAATTGCTCTCGATATGTTTATGTTCGCATATTTGTTTTATTTCTAAATGTAAGCGAAGGTTTAAAGTGTCGCAGGCCTAGCTTGGATTCCTGAACCCCCTTTTCCGCTCATGGGGTCCCCATTTCTGTGAGCAAGATCCACCCATTTCTCCTCAACACCCTCACATCTTTTTAAAGGGCCGAAAACCACATAACATTCCGCCATGTATCCGCTTACCTGGATAAACTGGATGGTTAACGCTGATTTTCCGACGCCACCACCTCCGACGACCACCAGGCGATATTTCTCCTGCACTGAGCCGTCCTTCCAGCCAGCCATCGGGGACACACTGCTGCTCTCGCTCCGCTGTCTAAACACACGCACACCGAGCCACTTTACTCTGTGACAGGCCTTCAGTTAGAGAAATGCAGCGGAAAAAATGCGAAGCGGCTTTTGGGCTATGTGTCAACTCAGTGGTAATCCGTCCGACAGGAGAAAAGTACGACCACAGTCTGTGGGAAATGCATACACTGCTGCTTCAAGTCCATACGCCCTCGTCCAAATCGCTACCAGGCACTGACTGACTGCCTGTGCTGCAAGATGAGGGGAAGATACGGCTAATCAGTGCTGGCAGTGCGCGCGGCGGGCGCGAGGGGGCGCGCGCTCACACTCCCGCCTTCATGGTTTGGCTGCCGAGATAATGTAATGTATTATTTATTCATCTAACTCTGTTATTTAAGATTTGCAAAATTGTGTAATAAATTGCACACATTGACCAATCTTTTAAAATCATACGTGTCTCCTTATAGTATAAGTTTATGGTAGGCTATTTATTCGATGTCAGAAAAAAGTATCCAGTATTTGTTTATGGTCATTCTTTCTTTTTTTACCTGTATGTCAGCATCAAAAAAGTATCAAGTCTACGTATCTGCTAATTATTTTGCTCATTCTTGTATGTTAGTATCAAAAACATATAAAGTAGTTCCAGTTCCTTAGTTTATGGTCATTCTTGAGGTTATTATTGTATGTCAGCATCAAACAACTATTTAATATTGGTTTTTATGGTCATTGTTTTGGTCATTCCTATATGTCAGTATCAGTTTATGGTCATTATTGTGGTCATTCTTGTTTGTTAGCATAAAAAAAGGTGGGAAAACTTATCTAAAATGAGCCAAAATTGAATGATATTCGGCATAAATAACGCATCACATCCACACAGATGTGCAGTATGGTTATCCTCTTCATTTAATATACCCCTTCTGTTTGTTTTTGTTGTTGTGTTTTCTTTTTCCAAAAATGTTTTCTTTTTGTCTTTCCATTTTCTTTATAATGTACTGTGATTGTATAATTTTTTTGCATAAAAAATGATTATCCTCTTCAGATTTTCATATTTAAATCATGCTAAAAAATGTCCCTACAAGTTTCTCACAAACCCTATTTGAATGCGACTGTTTAGTTATAAGTATGATCAGCAACCAAACAACACTTATAATATTACATTATTACATTACATTACATTACATTACATTACATTACATTAGTATTGAGCAGTGTTTCTCAACCTTTGTGATTCCAATGCCAATTTTTCCCAAAAAAATTTCAAGGCCACTTGTGTAGGATTAGATATTTTTGTTACTTCAGGTGTAACAATAAATACTGCTGGCTGGTTTAAGGAAGCATGCTGATGATCTATTACATTATTCCACATGAATGAACTGATAATAATTTAATCCCATGAGTGTATCTAAACAGTTTCTGCTAAAACAAATCATCATTATTAAACAAGAATCTCATGCTCCAAACTGTGAAGTACATACTTAGTCTTTGAATCAAAGGTAATAATGTTTGAAATGTATGGTTTCAAGCACAAACCAATTGTTTTGCTTCTATAGCTCAATGCATCACCAGAATCACGAGTATGAATTTTAATTTGCCTGTTTTGTCTGTGAAGGTAACTGTAGACTGGCATTACGAATTACCAACTTTAAAATCTAGTATTAAAAAAGTATTTTTAATGTTTTACTGAAGAAAATTGTCACCTACGTCTTTGATAGCTGAGGCTGGGTAAATAAACTGCAAATGTTCACTATGGGTTGAAATGACCATCCCTTTAAGCGCCTTTGTCTGGTTTAAGTTATGCTTTGCTTTTTAAATATCTGATTAAAGAGCATCTAAATGTCCATTTATTTACCAGATAAAGTCAGTCATTAGAAGGACATTTGAATCCTGTAAATCAGGGCTGGGACTTACTGGGGCTCATTCATTAATTTTCTTTCAGCTTAGTCCCTTTATTTAATAGGGGTTGCCACAGTGGAATGAACCATCAACTATTCCAGTGTATTTTTTACTAGCAACTAGCGAACTAGCAACCTTCTTGCTGTGAGGGGACAGAGCCAACTTGCCACCTCCAACATATTTCAAATGCTTGATTATAAAAATAAAACATAAAAAAGGTAAAACCACTGCTCTAAGTTGTGTACTGTTTACTGTACCCTTTTAATACTTAAAAGAAATAATTGTATAAATTATATTGTAAACCATGTCAGTTCTGGGAATCACGGAGTGCATGGGTGTTTCCTAGTAATGGGTTGCAGCTGGAAGGGCACCCGCTGCTTAAAACATGTGCTAGATAAGTTGGCGGTTCATTTGGCTGAGGTGACCCCAGATTAATAAAGGGACTAAGCCGAAAAGAAAATGAATAAATGAATGAAGCATGACACTTCTGTGAATAAACACAGGAATGGAAAGTCCTTGCCTTGTTGATTTGTAATAATGTTTAAATAATCATATTTTGAATATCATTAAATTTATTGACTTAAAGAACATGAATTACTTGGCATAAAATTGTAAACATTTTGATTGGCAGTTGTAATAATTTAGTTAATGTATCATAAGTAGACAGAAAATATAAGCATAATTTAAAAAACAGATGCACACTTTTAGAACAACTTTTTTAGCTTTTAGTGATAATTTCATTATTTAGATTATGTAAAATCAAAAACAAACTGGACATTTATGTTACAAACATTCTAGTAACCATCAGTGTGACTTGTTTTTGATTTTGTGTTGATACTGTCATATTAATAACCAACCTGGAAAAGCAGTTTTACCTCAAATCTGTTCACTGTAAAAAAAAAAAAAAATCCAGGTTGCCCTACATTTTTAAGCTGAATCAAATTAACCTTACAAGTCCATTGAACTTACATTGTGCTAAACTGACTTGCATAACTAATCAAATTAAGTTAGAACATGATTAACTCAGTTTGATAAGTTACTATTAGCTAAAAAACATATATAGTCTAATTGATTATATTTACAGTGTAGAATAAGTGTAACAATAAAAAAAAACATATTACTGATATCAAACACTACTGAAATTATAAAGACAAAAGGATTCTGAAACCCACTTGCACATTGTCATTGGCACAAATTTGCCAGAAGCAATCATTATAGTTCACATGGTACTCTGTTTACTCTCATTTACTTTAGTTTGTTCTCCTGATTACGTTACTCTCTTGAACAAACAATCTAAAATAGATTGTGGGAAACCCGTAGGAGACATTTTAAAATTTGTTGTTCCCTGTATGGAAATCTGACTAACTAGCAGTGTAGCACTAGCACCTGAGCATGTGTGAAATATATATAACAATAACGACTTTTTTCCACCCACATGTACGTCCAGGGTCTATAGCGGAGCTGTTTATTTCCACAGCTGCTGAACAGTGAGCGACACTTACTTACTCAGTGTTTCTTAACACAATGACCCATCCTAATAAACCCCCAACAATCCTCCACATGTCATGACTTGGCACTATGACCTCTGGGGGTTTCGTCAAAGAGGGAATGTGAAGCAACAGAATGTTTACAACACGAGGAAGCATCGGCTGCAAAATGTAAATTCGGTGCATATTCCACACCGCAGAACTCCAGAAATGCCATTGTTGGAGGATGCCGTGGTTTGCATAAACTCTCCTTTCTCGCACGCCACTGTTTGCATACTCTTTTTAGCAGTTCCTCGAATGCAAACAGTCAGAACGATACAGTATTATTTTGAGTAGCAGAATTAATCAATTCCCTTTGACTCCTTCTCTTCAACCCAAAAGAATTTGAGGAATTTCAATTAACTCGTAATCCAGAACTCTAAAGTTCACATGGTCCCACTGCAGTCGCCTGGAAGACAAAGTTCCACCTCCCACAGTCCTGAAAAGAAAAAAAAAGATAACCAAAGTACATGTTACGTAAATGATAATTTTTTTTTCCAGAAATGTCAGTCTTATCTACGGTATGAACGCTCTTTATTTAGTCCTCAATTATTTTGCTTTTTACTAGAAATCTTTAATGGCACATAAAATTTCTGTTCACCTCCCAAGCTCACCCCTCTCAAAAGTTTGGGGCTGGTAAGATTTTTAAACATGTTTTTAAAAGAAGAGTAGAATGAAATAAATACACTTAAAACAGTTTTCATTTTTGATGCCACTTCTGTTATTTGAGAAAAGCTCATCATGAAGCTCCTCAACTGTGAATAAATATAATGTTTTAAGGGGAATGTGTGGCTCTCAGACACGGCACTGCTTATATTAGTTACCACACCAAAAAAAAAACAGTTCAGATTTGGTATGTCAAGTAGGCTTATAGTGATGTCACCTTTTCAGCTTTGATCACAGTATTATTGTGATATTGACTTAAGCTGTGAAGAAGGCTACTTTAACATCTATAATAACCAAATTGTTCAGAGAAAACAAATGTTTTAAACAAATTAAATTCCAGAAAGATTATAATAGATAATGCTTTAAAATGAAGTATCATTAATGGATTAAAATCAACAGTGAAACAAAGACAGATTCATTAATAATGTTATTAAAAAATACTACTGAATTTGATTAGTTATGGTCTCCATTTAATATAACGATTACGACTTTCGAGTTTTTGAGTGCATTATTCAGACCCCATACTTTTTGTACACATTTTCTTTTGTGTGAAACTTTATATATACAGTTGAAGACAGAATTATTATCTCCCCCTCTTTTTTTTTATATTTCCCAAATTATGTTGAGCAGAGCAAGGAAATTTCACAAAATGTCTGATAATATTTTTTTTTCTTCTGGAGAAAGTCTTATTTGTTGTTGTTGTTGTTTTTTTCAGCTAGAATAAAAGCAGTTTTTTATTTTTTAAAGCCATTTTAAGGTCAAAATTATTAGCTCCTTTAAGCTATATATTTTTTCAATGGTCTGCAGAAAAAAACATCATTATACAATAACTTGCCTAATTACCCTAACCTGCCTAGTTAACCGAATTAACCTAGTTAAGCCTTTAAATGTCATTTTAAGCTGTATAGAAATGTCTTGAAAAATATCTAGTCAAATATTATTTACTGTCATCATGGCAAAGATAAAATAAATCAGTTATTAGAAATGAGTTATTAAAACTATTATGTTAAGAAATGTGTTAAAAAAATCTTCTCTCCGTTAAACATAATTTGAGAGGTGGGGGGGGGGGTCTAAAACAGTAGGGTTTAAGCCAAAGGAAGCATGTATAGCTCTTATTTTTATTCTCAATCTTACTTTGTCTGTCTATTTTA